TGGAAAACTTAGAAAATCGATTGACACAACATAAAGTGCCGAATTAAAATGATATGTTTCTCGCAACAATAAAATATCGACGCAATTGCATTGCTCATTCTTTCTATGCCACTCTTCTAGCAAGTCTCAAAGATGTCCCCTCTCGAAGAAAGGACAAACTATGTTGTCTTCTGCAGCATGAACGCCGCAAATATGATCATGGCGACAGATATTTTCACATATTTTAGGCAAATTTCACCTCTTAATAAATTGCGAATTCTAACACTGTGGAATTATATTCAATCAAGTACTAGTTATCGAAATTCACCATTTTCAATTATAACCCGTAAAGCCCTCACTATATTTAATTCATGAACAGTAAAAGGGTGTCTCAACTAAATTGCGTGCTAGTGAGCGTTTCACTATTTCGAATTTACTTTAGTTTATAGGATGATTATTTAATGGATAATTTATGCATTGAGAATTTACATATCGTAAAAGTCGATATTAGAGAGAGGTTTATTTAGATCTTGCAAACTACCCAAAGAAGAGTCTGAATTTAATCTATAGACCAGTGGTTCCCAAACTTTTCCTAGTCGCGGCGCCCTTTTTCAATTAAAATTTTTCCATGACGCCCTACCCTAAGTATGACTATTCGTAAATAAGAGATAAAAATAAATAAAACTCGAATATCTTTATTATTTTTTTTACTTTATTAACATTAAATTAATAATTTAAAATTAATGTGATGGATGAGCCTGCAAATCACTGCGCGACGCACAGTTTGAGAATCACTGCTATGGACAGTTGAGCACTGGGACCATCATTATCAAATGTAAAATGTATTTTAAAATATTGATCCAAGAAAAGTATACAACCTAAGAGAATAGGCTGCCCATTAGAATGTAACCCATACAAAACTGTGTTTAGAATGTGATACCGGTGAGGGAAAAATCGTATAATTTACTTTATATTAAATTCGTATAAGGTATCTTGCCTGTTACCTATAAAATCCAGCAAATCTAAGCAAGATATAGTGTAAAGTCTTAACTTTTATACCCAATTTCCAAAATACTTACCCTGACAAATACTTTAGGTTACTTTTTGGAAAACTCCTTGGAGGGCACCATACTCGATTGATTCGAATTGCATTTTATAATTATTTGCTCTTTGCCTTAAAACTTCATTTTTAAGTTTATTTTAATCACGTTTACAGTTCCTTTGTAGAACAGTTGCTTCTCTAACAATACATTATTTCAACTAAACAACTTTCCAAAAACAAGAAGATCAAAAAGTAAAATAGATAGAGGGTAAATATAGGGTGCCATGATGCATTTTACACGATTTAAATTTATAAAAGTAGAATGTTGCATCAATAATCGCCCGTCAGTTCTTTACGCATATTTGGCAAGCAAAATTAGATTTATAAGAGTGGTCTGATTGCATTTTTGCAACTTAATCGTGTTGTCAGGGCGACCCATTTGGACGCGCCTTCTACACAGTGCTCTCTTATAACCATAATTCACAGTGATGGACCATGGACTTGGTACATTCCCAGAAGTCTCGCTGGCATGGTATTCGCCAACATCAGTGAATCTTGCCATTCTCATCATCAAACTACAATTCATAGAAAAGACAAGTAAAGTCAATCCCTTGTGCTAGTATCCCTCTTTTATCCTGGCCATCTGGAAGAAAGGGGGACTCAATGAAGGACAGAAAACCTGCAAACGGCATCTGGAACTGGTGGTGAGGATGATTATGCCTCAGTAAATCCACTTCTAGCGACACACGCCTAGGCGACATTGGAGGAAACGAGAGCACACAATTATGTAAATAAGTAAATGGGCCAAAATGAAGTGGAGTTCAGAGAAAGAGATGCAGCATTAGAAGATAGGAAAAAAATATGGACAAGGAGTGATACCAGAACGGTAAACAGGAAATTGATGAGGGGGATTGCCTTCACTTGACACTGATAAGTTTTTACTCTGCTAGATGATGTCGACTATGATGTCAGTGAGACGTTTTGGAATGTATCAAGTCAATGGTCCGGTACTGGAAATCACTAATACTATGGCAGGGAACGCATTATTAGGTACCTTCCATAAGGTTTCCCCGATACTCCGGCCAAGTTGTGAAAACGAGATCAAACCTTCCACTGTGGATAAAACTTAAAAGCTGAATGTTGCTTCCTATACAATAGTAGATTATAAAATTAGTATTTCTTAGTGAGCCATTCTCGTTACTTGCTAAAAAGTTACAAATTTATAATTTTATCGGTCTATATATAAGCTGTCATACCCATAAGATCAATGGTCACTAGTCATTAACTACTCTTTTATAATTTCAAATTAGAAATATATCTATAGATAATCAAAGTAGCGAAATATATGAATGCATTTTTATCATAATAAAAAATTTTCAGAAGATTATAAACAGTATATTCAGATGAAATATTAAACGTAACATCTGGAAGTAAATAAATTTCAGTGGCTGATAGCTGACAGACAGAGAAATATAGCCATACATAAATTTACAAGAAGAAATATATCGCATTTACAAGAAATACCTCTTCTGATTGGTCTGTAAAAGAGATTTGTTTATGCATCCAGGCCTTAGCAATATTCAACTTGTATTTTCTCACGCTTATTCTACTTACACTCTTTTGCCCTCATATGAATGATCCAATTTCTTGGTCCTGATTTTTATCACCAATTATTAGAATTATCTCTCTATTTCGTGCTAATTTCATCGATTAACTATGACGCAAGGCGAAAGTAAATGCCAAAACTATGAGAATCCCTGGACAAATAGTAATATGAGACTTACCCTGAGACCGATAAGAAGCATAGAAGACGAAATAATAGTAATTACGGGTTATATGTTATCTTATGATATACAAAACTGGTTAGTTGCAGTATGGGTGAAGTGTATATGTATAGAAGTGGAGGGAAGCTAGAAGAAAACAGTCTGGTGAGGCTTATTAGCCACATGGAAGTAGCCGTCTCAGTTGCGGATATAACGTTATTTACGGTTAAGTGTTCTGAATTGTCATTAAAACAGCATCCGTACCCTTTATGGGCGATTGGTAGGACAAAATGGTGATGTGAAATCCAGCGCGGATTGAGCTGGAGGACCTCATGATAAAGAGCAGTCACCATAATAGAGATTGTGTCGCTGAAAAATCTTGTTTCAACCTAAATGTCCTGCTCGCAACTTTCTATTCTGTCCAGACATACAAATGTCATCAAGATTACGGCCTAAAAGCTATGTCTATCCTATTTTCAAAGACAATCCCTGCGTCATATTATTATATCCTATAGGAGCAATATCGTTATCAGAACGGGTCCTATGGTAATACCCGTCAGAGTATTAGGAGTATTGCATTGGCGAGCAGGACGTGAAGTAAGATGGACAAAGAGAAATATATCAGGTTTGATTTATCAGGAATATAATGATCTGCAGGGCAGGAATTTCAGATTAAGTTGCTATAATACTATAATACAATATTATATATACATATATATATATAATGCTATAATACAAACAATTATAATAGAAATTATTACTGCATAAACGTTTATAATAGCAAATATTTTTTTAAGCTTTATTTTGGGTTTGTTTGAAACGCCACACTTAGTGAATCTAACTTTAGTGAAATATTATTCCGATTTAATTAAATTGCCTTATCGGGGCGATTATGACTCATTCGAAAGGACCCAAGTTATTAAGCCAGCATTTTACTTGTCTTTATTGTTTTCGTAAGCAACAAATGTAAAAGCTGTCTATATATATCCTTTTAGTACATACAATTTTAGATGTCTAACTGGTAAAATAAAGGGTAAAAACATTGTTTTTTGTTAGCTCATTTCATTTACCATGGATCAAAATCTGAAACCATAATTTTGCCTTTTCTAGGCAGCTTATTTGATATTTATTACGTAACGACTTAATTATTTGGTTAAATAGATCCCGTTTGACAGGATGCTCCAAAACTTTTCACATCACTGTATGATCTTTATTACTTTATCATTCAAGAGCACTATTTGAAAAATATATTCATTAGTATAAAAGTTGTTTGACCTTGCTTTGCCAACTTGATCATATTTGCGGGAAGACCAGGAAAAATGGACTTTATACAGAGTCCATAGTATGCATTATACCTTCCAGAGTCGGACCGTGGACTTAGTTTATTCCCAGACGTTCCGCCGGCATCAGAGCAAGCATCCTTAGCTTGTTATAATGCCGGCTAAATATCTGGGAATGAACCAAGTCCATGGTCCAATTTTGAAAATCATAATGCATACGATGGACACCTGACTAGGTGCGTTCCTCAATGTCTTCTGGCCAATATGACCAAGTAACAAAAGCAAAGTCAAACAAGTTATATATAACGAAAGGAGACCGCGACCATACTAAAGGCTACACCATTTTACTCTTCATATCTTAGAATATATTAATTGATAGAAGTTGTTTGACCTTGTTTTCGTAACTTGGTCATATTGGTAGGAAGACTTAGAGGAACGCACCTAGTCAGGAGTCCATTCTATGCATGATCATTTGCAAACTCGGACCCTGGACGTGGTAAATTCCCAGACGTTCCCAGGCCTCACTATCTTGATCTCCATACCTTTATAGTAATTTATGTTTTGTGCACAAAACACAAAAGCATTGCTGGACCTGTTATGCGAAAATTTGTTTAAGGTTAAGTTATATAGTCTAAACCAGGCACTTATTTCCAACTGACCTCTTCTGACCTGATCTGGAGCAGGTATAGAACAGCAATCGTAATAGGAAGCTGGTCTAAGGTATTGTATAGGAGTGCTGTTTCCCGATTGCTGGTAGGAGGGAATGGATGGTGAACCTGAACCAAGAGTATGTTCAATTTCACACATTTCTCTTGACTGGGCGAACTGTCTTGAGTTATTCAAATATGTAATAGCTTGGCCTTGATAATGATTGTCTTTATTGCATATTAGATTATTTGAGTTTAGCAAAAGTGGGCGAGGAATGCAAGTTGGATGAAGGTCGAAGGAGTTACTACGGCAAAATAAGGCTAAATCCGGTGTATTCACGGGTACTAAAAGTTCGGCAGCGCGATACTGAAACAAAGTAGAAAAGAGAAATGTATTAAATATGTTTGATCTATTCGTAATAGCATAGTATACAAAGATATATAAATACAAGCTTGAAGTAACATAGTTTCCTTACAAGAACAATTTTAATAACTTTACTAAAAAGGAAAATCTAATTAATAAATTCAGCTACAATCAAGATAAAATGGAACCAGACCAAGTTTGCGTGAAACCGCTTAAGTAGTTGATTAAACACCAAAGTATATAAGATGTATTCCCCTTATTTCATTTAAGGTGATAAAGGAATTGGTAGTTAAATTTTTCCCCAATGATATAATAAGAGCTTATGTTTCCATGGAATTCAACACAGTCTTGCTTTTCCTAAAAGTTTTATCATCCAGAATAGGCTACAGTTTCGATCTGGAATTGGTCTCGTCAGCATCCCCAGATGGACTCGAAACCTGTTAGTGCAGCACAAAATCTCGACACATTTATCACTACATCATATTGTCATGAGTGCTCTTGGATCAAAGGGGAGAAGTGAATCTTAAAAATTCCAGGCCAACTAAGGGCATTTGTGCTGTAATCTCTTTCGATCCTTTATCCTGTCATTAGGGTTATATTTATATACCAATAAATAATGAATTTCTTTTTATTTATGATATACATTCTTAACTGATGAATTCTTCGGAGTTAATATTTTTTCTTAACTAGTCCTTTTTCAACGACAGTTATGCCACAGGCCAACCAATTTCACACCAGACATATTGTGTGGAAGCTTTACGCCATAGCTCTTCTGATGTTTAACTTATTATAGGGGGACCCCCATTATGCCTTTGTTCTAATATAGCCTCATTTTTCTCGTGTCGTATCTTGCCTCTAAATCTCTGATGTTATAAACATCCTAATCTGTCCCTGGCCTCAGCAACTTGTAGTCAAAGTATTCTGCCCAAATACCTAAGCTTAATAATATGATCCTACCAAGTCTAATTTAATAAGAATTGCATTCTCTTTCCAAGCGTTACCATCTTATGGTCGCATAGTTTAATAGTAAATCAAAAATAGTTTAATATACTTTAAACAGCGTGATAACTAATTATTAATAATTAAATAAAAATCAATATCCTCTAATTCGCTCATCTGGATAAAATCAATTGCAAACAAAGGCTATATTTTCCTATATTTACGAAGCTACACTTTTATTTTAAAGATAGGACCATTTCCAATAAAACTGCCACTACGTATATAAATTTAAGAAAGCTTTGCTCAATATTTAAAACAGAATAGCCGTAAATACAAAAGAATAAATTTTCTGTTTGATGATGAGATATAAGGAAAAAATTATACCTACTTCCTGAACCAAGTTTATAGTGCTTTCGCCATAGCGCCTCTTGGGCAGCGGCGGAGGCAAAGTTGAAAGTTGTGGGTCACTTTCGTATGGTAGATCTAGTTTTGAAGTGAATCTAATTGACCGGTTTAGGAATCTCAAAGAATCGACCGACTTTGAGTTCAGCTTCTCAGACTTAATCAAGCGTTTATTCGATGTGGTAAGCTCAGTCAGACTGCGACGGGAGGTGATGATAATGGTACCATTAGCAGCCAAATCATCGGCATTTGAGCTACCGTTGTATTCAGCTCTATATTCTCTGTCGCAGCCATTAGTGCATTTACCATCAAAGTGAGCATGTTGACAATCCTCACATGCCGGGATCCTGAATGATCTGCCTAAATGGCTTTTAAGATTTACGTTATTGGCTGAGTAGACTGAAGTGAAGAGTCCTGAGCAGCTGTTTTTTGTGCAGCAAAACCCCATTGGTTGGCACGAAAAGGCTGATGAACATATATTTGTCGCTCTCACGGAGTTGGAACAGGAAGGAATAGTAGTTATCCACGGTAAGCATTGATTTGCGCGAGAATAGACTCTCGAATATATATAGTTGTCTCTTTCGGCGAAAGGCTAAAAGCAACGAAGCAATAGAGTTTATAACATAAAAGATGTAGGCACATAATAATTATTTAGAGCTCTGAAAGTCAACAAAAACAATTCAGCAACCATCTAGATATGCTTTTACAAGATAATATGTCGATTATTTTAAGTATGACCGAAAACGTGCAAAGCAAGCACTCACTGCTGGACTCGTAAACAGCTGATTTGGTATGCGAGATATTAGTTCAAGCAAACTTCCTTATATAACTCTATTAGCGGTTACAAGTCATACAACCTAGTGGAAAACCTTATTCTCCAAGCTTCAGATAAAAATGTTAAATAATCCTCTGTTCCATACTTTAAAACTAAATGAAGTTTATTATTTATTCTCCTTTTCTAAAATAACTTCGTTGTCTGCAATTTATTACAGCTATAGGAAATGACTGTCATGATTGAGCATATGAACGCATAGCTTATACTTGCCATCTAATAAATAAGACTTATAGTATAATGAAAATAAAAGCAGAATTATTATTTTCAATTATTTGAGATATGTATACCTTGCTTTTGATCTCATATCTACTATGTTTATCAGGAAAACACTTATAAAGTCACATTCTCCAGGTTTTCGACAGGATGATTAGGCTTAGGCAAGCTCGAAACTGGAAGCTGCCTATAAAGAGAACTCATATTTTGGAACCAAGGCAATTAGGAATTTTATTATAAAAGAAAGTCTTTTTTTATTAATTCGACATTAGAGTCAGCAATAAAAGACTGATATTGGTCACCAATCCCTCTTGTAAATGAATTTATGGTTATTTTTATCATCACTAGCTTAAATATAAGATTTAACTGAAAATTCTATTGAGCCTTCTAAATGCTTAGAGTTTGTAATTAATAGAACAGCATTATACTAGAAATGAAGAGCAAATTGTTGTAACCTCTATTTTGGTCGCAGTCTCTTTTCGATTTATATAAGTGGTCTGAATCCGTTTTCGCAACATGTTTATGTTGTCAAGTCGACCCAGTTGGACGCAACTTGTCAGAAATCCTCTTCTATAGTAGTTAGCATAATTCATGGCGTTGGATCATCGACTTAGTATATTTTAAGACGTTTCACCGACATTGTAATTGAGTCTGGCCATTCTCAACAGCAAGCAACAACTTGTCAAAAAGACAAGAGAAGTAAATCCCTCGATCAACTTTCTGCCTAATGGTTGTGCTAGAACTCCTGTTCTGGAGCATCTACCTCCTCCAAACTCTCTTATATCACTTCAACCTTATTACAACTTCTGAATTATTTACATTCGACTCCTCTAGAGGTGTGCCCTTTTTGGCGAGTTTAGTATGCTGCATCATCACATCTGCTGTTTACCTTGCCCCCCTCCCTCTCGAAGGGCCGATCAACCTCGCACCCTCCATCCGAGTCCCTTTCATGAGGCCGGAGATGCTCTTTTTATCGTTTTGGTATATTGATTTCATTATAGAAAATCTAAATTTGCTCTACTGATTCCACGAGGTTCCTGTCATAGCAACATTTTAATGCAAGCGATATTTAGCAAGACTTTAACAACACGTACACCTTCACCTCATTGAAAAGAGCGCTTAGGCTCTGATTCCCATGTTTGCAGATGTAAGGCATTGTCTCAACGGGCCATCTCTGTGGTTCAATCTATATACACTGAGCAAAGTATGAATGTCTATCTCTGATCGCCGGCTGCCTCTAAGTGTATTTCTAGTCAATTTGGCCATAATGCCGAAATTATGTTGCGATTGTGATTATCAATTTCCCTAGTCCTGTGATCACTAGGCTTTAAAGTTGCTGCTCTTTCTTCTAGTAGACTGCCCCCATCGAGAACGACTTCGCTTGGTTTCCGAATGCCTCTCACTCGCTTCTTCCTTGAAATCTTGCTAACAATTGGTCGTTGATCTAGGTGTCTCATTTTTGTTGATCTTTCGTAGCTTTGTTTTCCTTGCATTTGCTTAAGCAAAATGAAGAGGAGCTGCTCATGAAATAAACAAATATTATCGCTAAATTTACCTTCTTCCAATCTCATGTTCATTAAATTTTTTCAGCAAGAATATCCTTAGCCTACCTAATCTTCCGTTTTCTCATGTTTTCACTGTATGAGGCCCTTATTTCCGCTGCCTTCCATTTGATCTTGTATCCAGTCCGTATAATCTAACTTTGATCTTTCGGTACCTATTTTGCTGCAGAGCCTTTGAAGCTCCTTGATTTAAATGTGGATTGTTTTATCTGTTCATTCAATAAATTTTTGTGTTTTCAGACGCTGTATGATATGCAGTAAACTCCTAAGTAGCCCAATTTGTCCTCCCATCAATTTGCCTGTGAAAGGGCTTGGAATGTACCTAGTCCATGGTCCATGGAGGAAATGACTTCTGACAAGGTGCGTCAAACTAGGTTGCCTTGGAAATACGACAAAGTTGTGAAAACGAAGTCATACTACTTCTATAAAGTATTATGCCCAGAATATTATCACCAATATAAAGTCTGATGGTTTACAGAGCTTATGTTAGCCTGTTAGCTATTAGCAATAAAACTTTTATTTATTTATTTCTTTACTACTAATAGTAATATTTTATTTTTACTTAAACTAGATTTCTGACTTCCCGATTTTCATAATATATTACAACTTGATTTGACCGTTCATATACCCTATTAAGCATGACAATTTGAGCTAGCTCTTTTAGCATATCCAATAGAACTGAATTTCTCAGTCAACTTATTATTCTATGTGTCCGTTTTAAGTGATAATCATACTTCCCACATAACGGGCATTATCTCTAGGTTATTGAAATTTGTGTGATTCTTACATTGCCATAGTAATCTTCTGAATAAATTTGATATATTCTTCTTCTTACTTCTTTTGTAAATCTTCTACTCAGTACGATCTCTTTATTTTTCTCGCCCTCTACTTCTTTGAACCGGACTCATGCCAATAAAACCATAAATTGAACTTTAATAATCCTATTGTTTCAATATTGCCACCATTTTCTATCAACTTCGAGTGCGATTTGAGATTCCTCGACTGAAATATGTTAAAAGATGTCCTATTAAATAATTAAATAATGATTTTTATTGAAATTATCAAATGATTTTATGGACTAAATTTGTCATGAATAAAATTCTTATGCCGAGAGTAATCAGCCCTGATGATTAATGCTTAAAAATACCTAATTTAGACTCGAGAGTTTATCAAAATCGACTCTGAATTATTCGCTCATTTCATCATAAACACTGTATTTTGGTAAAGCTAACTCTGATTAAAAGTTCTATTTTTGATAAAGTTCAAAAGTTCATAGTAGCTGGAGGATTCATACATGCCAAAAAACCTACTATCTATGGCCCTTCAAATCCTTAAAGTGAAAATAAAAAGGATATTACATTTTAGTTCTACAAATCCTTCAACTTTATTGGAAAAATGAACATTAAGAAGTAACATTCACATCTGACCTTAAATTAAAGGGTCAATTTTGGGTAGTGGTTAACGTGTCGAGATTATACGCTGCAGTTTCATCGCCAGAGCCCCATTGGGGCTATTGATAAGTCCAAAGTGAGGACGAAACTGCAGTCCACCCTGGATGAGAACACCTTGTTTGGAAAGCAAGGCTACGTGAAGTAGAATTTCATTTTCATTCTATTTCAGACATTTAATCATTTTAAAATCTAAAAGATAAGTAAGAGTTCCAGTCAACCTAGGTTACTTAAAGTAAAAAGAAATGACAGTTGAGGAAATTCAATTATAAGTCCAAATTATCTTATGCAACCTAGAATATCTGGAACTCTTACTACAGATTAACTAATAGCTTTCAAACTACTCAAAACTAATACAACTAACGTAGTCGATTAGAGTGGCATAAAATAAATTTTCCTCTCTTCAGTTCGTTTTGTTATATCTTTGCGCTATTTCTAAAAGTATGGATTCTTGCTCTGATGATGTCAGACAAAAGTTTATGATTTTTGTAGCTAAGTGTTATTGAGTGATGTATAAAATATCACCATTTCTCTGTACTCCGTAAGACAGATGTCCGAAACTTGAAATTCTCGATAAGGAATTCCTACGACCTTATAAAGTAAGTAGATTATCGGAATATAGTAAAGAAGATTTGCGTGTTAATTTCATGGTTAAGTTTATGCTCACTAATACTTCGATAAACAGGGCAATAAAGCCTTTAGAGTCAACTCCATATCAAAATCCAGGGATAATAACAGGTAAAAAGTTGAGCAAAGATTAAATCATTGGATTAGCCAATTTGGCTATGAATAATACAAATTGTATATTCAATGGTAGGTTGTATGAGCAAACACGGGCTTAGATATAGTATATAGTTCAGCCCCTATTTTGGCTAATAATTACATGGCTTAATTAGGGCGTCGTGTTTTTAAAGAGGCTCTTCTTGTTCCAAACTTACCAGTCAGATATCTGGACTTTACTATATAGCAACACAGCAAAGATAGATAAGCGAATTCCTTTAGCTAATAAATAGAATATGGCAATACTAAATTGATTGTGGATTTGGAAAAGGAGATTAAATTACCTTTTATGGATGTACAGATGAGTGAAGAAGACTATTAAGTTGGGTAGAGATGTATAAAGAAAATCCACACAAGCGAATTACCTCATTAATTTCATATCCAATCATATACGCCGAGTTAAGGTGGGTGCTACGAAATTAAGGATAATAAGGAGTCTGCGTTTAGCAGACGTAAACTGCAGAGGACAGGAAATCAGTAGATTAATCGGTAATATCATTTGATTACTCAGTAAAAGGATGAGGTAAGATTGTTTTTTAGGGCGGATAGACAGGTAGACCATTATGCTCGGTTCCCGAGTTCGCCTTCCTGCCAGCTTGATGAAAAGTTA